GTGCTACAGTCGTAGTTGTAGCAGTTGTAGGCGCTGTAGTCGTAGCCATTGCAGTTGGAGTAGTGACTGTTGTAGATGCTGCAGTCCTTGGTGAGGCAGTTGTAGGTGCGGTAGTTGTAGGTGCTGCTGTCGTAGGTGCTGCTGTTCTAGGTACTGCTGTTGTACGTGCGGCAGTTGTAGATGTTGCAGTTGTAGCAGTGGCAGTTGTAGGTGTGGCTGCTGTAGATGCTGCTGTTGTAGGTGGTGCAGTTATAGGCGCAGCATTCGTAGGTGCCGCAGTCGTAGGAGCAGCAGTCGCAGGCTTGGCTGTTGTAGGTGCTGCACTCGTAAGTGCGGTTGTTGTAGATGCTGCTGTCGTAGGTACTGATGTCGTAGGTGCGGCTGTTATGCGTGTTGCTGTTGTCGGTTCTTTAGATGTAGCCGTGGCAGTTGTAGATGCTGCGGTTGTAAGTGCTGCAGTTGTAGGTGCGGCTGTTGTAGGTGTCGTGGTAAAAGTAACACAATTATTATTATTAAAAATGATTATCAAAAGAAAGTTTACTTTTTGCCTTCCTTAACCATTCATTATCTTATGGTGCTAATACACTAATATTCTACACATTGAATGAGATTTCAGCAATCTTAACTTTATTTATATTTTTCACTACAACTTTTCAACTCAAGAACCTTTAAAAGCAATCAAACAACTTACCTATCAGAATCAGGAAAATCGATACTATCCATCCGACATCCATCTCGTTTTTCTTCTGATTCTATAAAATCAAACAATACAGAGACTTTCTCAGAGACACATTATGTCAAAAGATTTTACGCTACAGTTATTAATGACTACAATTACTACTTTTTTAATAGATAAAACAATATCTTTAGCAGTCACCTTTTTTTCTGTATATATCCTACCTCTAGTGTTCAAATTTGAAGTAGATTACCGGCAATTTTACAAATTAAAGTCACTGGGATCAGTGGTTATCAGTTATTTTTGGTAAAAGGCCCAGTTCCCTTCACAAGACCTAATTTCAGCCTCCCAAAGTCAATGCAATACAAAGGCAAAAAGAAACCATGTCAGGTTTTCAGAATTTAGTGCTAAAACTAAACCCTGTCTGAAAAATTCCACCTGATTCTTCACACCTCACCGACACATTTCTTCTCATATTCTATCTTCAATTTCTCGTGTTTATTCTTCATAAGATCTTATCCAATTTTCGCTAACCAATCACTAGAGATCAATGTATCTGCCTAAATCAAAATCAGAATCAGAATCAGAACCGTTTATTGCCATGGTATGTTGAACATACAAGGAATTTGGCGTTACGGGAGGTGCAAACATTTAACAATCAACAACAATCAGTGCAAGTATAAACATATTAAAATTTACAAGAGATATAAAATAAAGTAAGATATAAATGAAATATAAAATAAAGATGAAATTTAAAATAAAGTGAAATATAAAATAAAGTGCACAAACGAACAGATAACAGGACTATAAACAACGAACAGATGACAGGACTATAAACAAGTGAGATGTAAGTGTAGTGTAAAAGTGACGAGTGTAATAGAAGGGATGCAGGGGAGTGACCGGTGGGAATTTGTCCTGGATGACAGAGTCAGTGGGGGTCCCGGGCTCTGTTAATGAGCCCGACTGCGGATGGAAGGAAGCTGTTTTTGTGGCGTGAGGTCTTGGTCCTGATGGACCTCAGCCTCCTGCCAGATGGGAGGGGCACGAACAGTTTGTGTCCAGGCTGAGAGGGGTCGGCTACAATCTTTCTTGCTCGCTTCAGGGTCCTTGAAGCAAACAAGTCCTGGAGGGACGGCAGATTGCAGCCAATCAGCCTCTCGGCAGAGCGAATGATGCGCTGCAGTCTGTCCTTGTCCTTGGCTGTGGCTGCAGCGTACCAGACTGTGATGGAGGAGCAGAGGATGGACTCAATGATGGCTGTGTAGAAATGCACCATCATTGTCTTTGGCAGGTTGAATTTCTTCAGCTGCCTCAGGAAGTACATCCTCTGCTGAGCCTTCTTTGTGATGGAGCTGATGCAACGCCATTTTAAGTTGACAGACATGTGTTGCCATGACAACAGATTTTGTGCCAGTGTTTTAAGAGTTGAGCCGAGACAGTTAAAAGAAAACGCTAGAAAAACCAAACTAGCATAAGATGTCTGGCGCTATTGAGCTTGACATGCCGTAAATGTTAAATGAATTTGTTATTCACAGGCCAATTAGTTAACCATCAAAGATATTGGGATAATTCTCCCCTATAGACCAGGCGTCTATTCTGGGAGGATTTGAGTAAATGTTTCAGATTACTTGGAAGGGTTGAGGACAAATTACAAAAATATCTGACATCAAAAAGGGCCTACTGCAGATCCCCTGTCGCCATATATTAGATTTTTGTGTGAACTAGATCTCAACAGGCTACCGACGTCCATTCCTTCCAAACTGTCCTGCACCTTCATAAAATACCAAACCGCCTTTTTAATACACAATAAAGCTTCAAAATTCATGGAAGTGATATTTACTGGCTTATTTTATATTGTAGAACAGAATGTTACAATCTCTTCAGCGTGTGAACCACAGACCCTCTTTCAGGCATCAAACCAAAAACCCATTTAAATAACGTTTAAACTTAATAAACAAAAAAAAAAGAGACGAGGGAACCAGAAGTGTAAAAATGCAAAGTCATTTTCGGGTTTTAGGACTCATTCCTGCAGCGTTCTATTGATACTGTGTAAAAACAGGTGAATGGAAACACATTTAATGTAATTCCTATTCAAAAACAGGATTGCACCTGTGAACATCAACACACAGTTTCATAAGATAGTGTCTGGGACCTTTGTCACAGCCCCCACCTATCTGTTCTTTCTTTCTCTCTCTCTCTCTCTCTCTCTCTCTCTCTCTCTCTCTCTCTCTCTCACTCACACACAGACACACACACACAAAACACCAGTATTGTTCTTCTACTTCTAGAGAAACACCTACACAAAACATCTTAAAATGTCATTTAAATAGTGAGTAAAATATAACTTGTACACTGCATCCTGAACTGAGTTGGAATTCAAATGAGCTAAAAATGAATCTAAAGTTCGCAATCATAAAATCTAAAATTTGCACTGACCTTTCAACACCATTCTCCTCTCATCTTGCATGGATCTTAAGTACACTGCTGGGTGTAACAAAGACCAATCTCACGAAACCAGTTCTACCTGCTATAATCACACCTGTCTGTCCACATAGCAGTGACAAAAATGGGAAGGCTTTCTGTATATTGTTAAACAGGCTGCAGTTCACAGATTAGGTGTAAAAGAAGATTTCGGAGTGCGCACATGCGTTGCTTCTGTACTAGCGATTCGTCTGACAGCACAGTCTGTTTGGATGAGCATGACTTTTCACTGGTAAAAGTGACAAAGGAACAAGTAGTTATTGTTGTGAGGAAGCTGTTCCTCCCAGTTTCTGGCACATGTTCTGATGGTTCTCATGGACATAAATAGCATCTTGTTCAGCATCAATCCTACCAGTTTATTTTTGGCACATTCAAGTTACCTTGACACACCCATCAAACTTAATTGTCTTGATTCAGTGGCTGAAAGCTGAAGACATTTCATGCAGAAGTTGTTTGTGTTGAGCTGGTAAGAACATAAAATATGAAGAATAAAGAACAATCTTACGAAGGGGAGATTGCTCTCTTTTCCAATACCCTGCATACACTCATATCCACATTTCTGTTAGATGCCCAATGCATCATTGGCCTACAGTCTGATATGTTGGCCAAGAAGCAGCAGTGCTGGAGTTAATATAATATAAAAATATATGATAATGTAAAAAGAAACACATAAATAGGATTTAAAAATGATGAACTATAAACAGAAGAGTAAATCCAGTGTGGTTATAGTAATAAGAGATATGAATAAATAGCCACAAATTTAATTTAGTGAAAGACAGTGGCAATCAGAAGTTTTAAGATTTTTGACTTTGGGAACAGTGCGCAAATCTGTCTCGACAGTTCATATAATAGCAACAGATCATAAATGTAATTTGCCCTCAATCATTTAGGAAATATATATATATTTTTTGACATACTGTGCAAGGATCTGACAACCGGAGTGATGTATTATACTTTCTTAAATTGTTGCTGTAATTCAAGGTGAAAATAGGCAGGTTTTGCAATATTTTTTATGTGAATATTTGAATGTAGGTCTGAGTCGGTGACTACATCAAGATTTCTGACTTGGTTTGATGTCTTTAACATTGAGCACTGATTTATAAGCGTTCTTTATTTGGCACGAAAACATTTTTTTGTTGTATTTTTAATTGTAAGTTTGCACACCCAATCACTGATTTGTTCAATAATGACCTGGGTCAAAGCCACCTCATTCTTATTGCCTTTAAATGAAAATGATCCCTCTACACAAGACCCACTGATCCTCCACATACCGTATGTTCTGAAAATAATTATTATAATCTGCAGTGAAAACCTTTCAAATTTGTCTGCCTGTACATTGTGATGCATTTGAGATATGTCTTGGTATGTATTCAGAACAAGTAACTCTCTGGCCCTTCCCAACCTTAAAATGTCAGCATCACATTTGTACCATACCATACTACATTGTTGGCGCTCATGATTGAAACAGTACTTTATCATCCACTTGGCAGTGGACATGTCACCTTACATACCTGTTGTGACACAGCCTCACTGGGATAAGACTGTCTATCAGTGACCCCATGCTACATTATACAATATGGGAAAGTTGTTATTTGTCTGTTTATTTTTTTTAAATAGTCTAATTAATTACATTATGGGACTCAAGGGACCAAAATAACTGAGATAGATTCATATTGTAACAGGTTTAGCACAATTGCATGAACCTAAGACTAAACGCATGCCTAAATGCATAGAGCGATGAGTTTTAAATTATAACTACATATCCCATAATCACATTTTTCAATTAGTATGGAAGCCCTTGAGTCCAAACATAATATTTTCGCATATCCGCGCTACTGCTGCCGCTGCTCTTAAAGGAGACGCATCCCAAACGGGCCTATACTCGGTTTAAGAAATATGAGGTTTGCTATAGCTTTAAGAGGTAGATAATGTTAAATGTTTCTAGTATTAAATTATCATTCAACGTTAACTTTGTTATATTAATAAGCGAGTTTTTGAAATGCTTGCTTAAGTCACTACGACTCAACATTACCATTACTCTTGACTGAGCTAACATAACTTGGTCCCAAAAGGGCCTTCAATGTTACGTTGGTATTACATGTCCTATGTTCATAATTAACGTTACGTCAACTAACGCCAATTACAAAAGTCTGTAAGGGTCATAACAGTTAAATATGAGCAGCATGGGCTCGGAGGAAGACGAGGTTTCGGGTATTCGTCCTGGGATTGAGAAAACCGGAGACTCAACGGAGGCCGCCCAACCATCCTCGGACTCTACTGAATTGTCAAGCGGGAGAAGAGGAAGTAAAAGGCTAGTGAAAACCACAGTGACCTCTCCGGAATCCGGTGACTCTGGGTCGGGTGTTCGAGTTTTGCGAGCCAGGGGAGTTGGAGCTGGCAGGACTAAAGTTATGAATTCCACGAATGCCACTTACAGGCAAACACCTAACGTTAAGAGTATGCACCGTGGACGTGGGAGACCTGTGGGATCACGCTCCAAAAACACACAGTAAGTGCCTGCACAAACGCACGTCAAATACTTTGCAGTACAATAGCACTATTGCAAGAAACGAACTAACTAACGTTAACGTTCACTCTCAGACGCTAGTTAGAGGTACTAGTGAGATTGCACTGCAAGGACGGTTAGGGCTGTAATTGTAGGAAGTGTGCTGTGGGGGTTCTTAAAGCTATAGGTTTACTAGATGCTGAAACCAAAACAAATGAGTTAAATGCACGCGTTGTCCTGTCTGTGCTCTTGTTATCCTGTTGTTTTTCATTTTTCAAAGGGCAGTTGAGTTATAAAATACTGTGTGTATTCCAAGGTATACTACCAATTTTTATTTATTTATTTGCACCTGGCTTTTATTTACTGTAGACTCTCTCTCACACAGACCAGCGGTGAAGAAATCCACAGCCAAAAATGGTAAAAAGATACATTAGTCCTATTCATCTATTTGTAGGAATTTTGTCATTGTTATGTAATACATCTGTCACTAATGCTTGGGCACGCTCACCTCATTAGCATCCAAACGCACTCTTGGATCAAAGCCGTCCAAATCTAGAGTATGCAAAGGAAGACCTCCAACCCAAGCCTCTCGCACCACACCAGCAACATGCAAACCTGAAGCGGAGATGGAGGCTGGTAAGACAAATACCACTTGCAGTCTTTTTACTACATATAATAAGACTACGAACAACGGCAATCATCTGAAACTGAAAGAACATATTCATTTTCTCTGTTTTTTAGGAGAGGAAACGGGTTCTTTGAAAGGAAGCAATGACAAGTGAGTGGTATACATCTTATTAAATGAGCAACAGAGAAAATGTTGGATTTCATGTTTGATTTTCCAGTGTGAATTTGATTGTGGCCAGTGTGGTGTGGATGTCCATATTAGCATTGCAGATCCAGATGCAGCTCTTGACGAGGACCCTCCATTCAGAGATGACCCCAATGACCTCATCTATAAACCCGAGACAAAGACGTATGCTGAGCTCACTCCCTTTCCATAGTGACCATTGGTTCTGAATGTTACTTTATACAAAAACATGATGAATGTTTAAATGTTAGCTTCAATAGTGAATTGAGCTTTATCTCTTAACTCCTTAGGGAAAAACCAAGGCGGAATACAACGTTAAAACAAAAGGAAGTCAAGAAAGAGGAGTCAGAAAAGGAGGAAGAAGAAGATGACATTAAAAAGGAAGAATCAACAGAGATTGTTGTGCAGAGTGAAGATGGCGCGGGTTATAACACACGGCCACCCAAGTAAGCAAAATACGGGTTGATGATTAGTTAATGGAACAGAAGGACTGATGGCTGAACAAGCCGACAATAGGTTTATTTCATACCTCATTGGTACCTGAAGCCACACGCCCTCACCAATGTCTGACAGCCTGCTTACTGACAAAATCTTTGCACATTACATTATGAAGGAACTTGACAATATAGATATGATCCTATTGGACGTTTGGGAGGAAGGATTAAAGTATTGGTCTTCATTTTAAGTTCTGTTTTGTAATCTGTTTTCATTCTAGGAGAGGCCGACAACAAAAAGATGACAAAGGCCCTCGGCTGCCAAAACAAAGGTAACGGTCTTAGTTGTATTACTCACTGTAGTATTTGTATCAACTATAATTATTGTACAATTTCCCTTTTTTTCTGTCGCCATAGGAAGAAGCCCCCAGTGCAGTACGTCCGCTGCGAAATTGAGGGCTGTGGTACTGTCTTGGCCCACCCACGTTACCTACAGGTTTGCCATCCTGTCAACATTTTGACATACTGTTTTAGATCTGTGAACTTACCTTAAGGTGCAAAGTTGGGTGCTTTTTACTGTAATATTTACTCCTTTTCTCTCATCTCTTTATTTCAGCACCATATCAAATACCAGCACTTGCTTAAAAAGAAGTATGTGTGTGATCACCCCTCGTGTGGGCGATTGTTTCGTCTGCAGAAGCAGCTGTTGCGCCATGCAAAACATCATACAGGTGATGTCAAGGCACAAATGTGTATTTACTCAGTATCAAGACTGGCAATGTACCTTATGTTTATTTGAGTATGAAAATAGTGATATCATTTCTGAGCTGCTTGAAATGCCGAGGTGGTAAGTGAAAACCTTACATTTTCTGTGTCTATCCTGTCATGTAGTTTATTTATTCTGCTTGTCATCTGTATTTCAGATCAAAGGGACTACATCTGTGAGTATTGTGCTCGTGCCTTCAAGAGCTCCCATAACCTGGCTGTGCACAGGATGATTCACACAGGAGAAAAGCCAATCCAGTGAGTAGCAGACTTCACAATATCATGTTGCAATGTGTGCTGTGGGCCAGGAAGAACTTTAAGTCTGGCTTATATCCGTTATTGCAAGTGAGAAAGCACATTATTTCAGTTCAGTCTTATTTATGTAGAAATAAACCATTTAAAATAACCACATAATACATATTTTCTTTAGTTCTTCCTTTAATGTTAACTACAAACATTAACTTTAACTTTTAACTTAAAGAGTAAAAAGATCTAACTATTTCTTTCACCACTGATTATCAGTAAATAGTGCAATTGGAGGTCAAGTGTCACAGATGAGACTCAAGCGTCAGGTCCGTTCAGACTGTAACCTGGTCTTTGTCTCCACCCTGTGGCAGATGTGAGATCTGCGGCTTCACCTGCCGTCAGAAGGCCTCCTTAAACTGGCACATGAAGAAGCACGATGCAGAATCCTCCTACCAGTTTTCTTGCTCCATTTGTAGCAAAAGGTTTGAGAAAAAGGACTCCGTTGTTGCACACAAGGCCAAGAGCCACCCTGAGGTGCTCATAGCTGAAGCCCTGGCAGCTAATGGGGGCTCAGTAATATGCAGTCCCGCCCTGATCCCAGAGACTCTCCCAGTGCTCACCCAGCCCAACCAACCCTCTGTCAGCCAGGAGAATCAGGAAGTAGTGAATAGTACGCTCACTCCACTACAGCAGGTGGGGCTCCTGCTCCCCCCACAGACGCAGATAGATGTATCTCTGGGCCAGTTTTTCCAACTGCCCACGCACCAAGTGGTGCAGGTGGCACATCAGCAGCAAGCCCCCACCTTGCTGCACCTCACGGCTGCTACTCCTACTAACTTATCCAGCATCAGCCACCCCCAGCTCATCCAGCTCTCCACCCATCCTGCCAGCACCATCACGTCCATGACCGTCGCGGACCCTCGGAGCACCCTGCTCACCCTGAGCTCCGTCACCACACTGGCCTCCACAGCCTCCCTGGCTTCCCAGCAGGCTATGCAGTGGGGCAGGGAGACCGATGAGGACGAACAGTTACCAGGGGAGGGTGAGCTGTGGGACAGGGTGGTGGTGGGTGGCGCTCATCAGGATGTCGGGGAAATTATGTGGGAGAGTAACGAGGAAAGAAGGAAGGAAGATGAGGGGATTGAATGGGAGAGGGAAGGAGGGAAACAGATTCTTTTACAGTGTGCCGAGGTTCATGGAGACAGTTTAATGTAGATAAAAGGCCACGAAATGATCTTAGCAGGAACTTTATGCACAGGGAAGTTTTGATTTAAGAAAGGAACAAAAGACTGAAGGACATGTCAAGACTTAAAGCTGACATTATAAATATTTTAAATTATAGACTTTATCTCCATGGAGTGTAACACAGCAGTTATACAAAGTACGTGGCTACACAGAGCTACTTATATCAGGGAGTATGATTTATTATGTTATAGATTACATACACTTCTTTTACCACTTACTGAATATTTTGTGACTCTTGTGTTTGTATATGTGTGTGTGTGTTACATCATTTCTAGAGATTAAAAAGACTGCAAGATGATAGTACATATTGTACAAAAAGTAACAAATGACATATATATCCCTCATGTCCATATGTGAACGAATGAATAATTTGGTCAACTCTAGTAGTTTTAGTTCATGAAAACTTACAGAACAAATTAACTGTGAGCAACAACTAAAACTAAATATGGTCTTTGTTGTAAGATTACAATAAAAGACATATTAAAAAGAAAGAATACAATTTTTAGTCTGGGCCTTTAGACAAATCTACTTTGACGGACAGAAATCCCAGACAAAATCTAGACTAATTTAATATAATATTTAGAAATCCTTTGAGATATGCCAGATCTTTTCTTTCACAGCAGACATTTAGACTTTTTATAGTAGGACAAGCACAAGTGTCTAATATTATTGATGACTTCTATTTATGTGTCCAAGTCAGTCATGACAGTGAGCCAGCATCCTATGCAACATGTTAAAATGTCTTTTGTGGAAAAGGCCCATAAGAAAAGATCTAAAATGCCTTCCTTGTATTCTCTTTCTTTGTCCTAAGTTGTGCCACTTCCCTTCCAAATTGAACTGAACCATCTGATTGAATTCGTTACGGATTGTTGCCTTAATATTTTTTCACAGTTAAGACTATGCAGGCAGGATAGAAATAGTTTTTGTCATCAATTTTCTTTTTAAACATTCTTAGATAATAAAATATACCTCTGTGCACTGCCACTACTACTGACCACTCGTAATCTTATGATCTTAATTTATTCGAAAATGTATTCAGATTAATAATAATAAACAAACTGTGTTTTGAAATTTTTGTCTTTTATTCCTGACACATCCTTGAAACAAGTTGATACAAGTCTAGTTGATTTATGTATAAGGAACATAATGCACTAATTAACATCAATATGATTTAGTGAGATTTAGCTAAATTACTATATCTGTCAACATTTTAATGAAAAACAGCATTAAAGCACATATGGAAATGTATATTTGACATTTTTTGAATTTTGTAAACATTCTAATAATTGATTTACCCACACTGATGCCCATCTTGAATCCTCATGAATACACCTAATGACAAATCTTTATGATATACCCATTAAATCAAACTTTGAGAAAAAATTCTATTATATCCTTTTAATCCAACTTTGTTTACAACAATGACCAGGGTATTGTCTTTACAAACCATCAAAAAAAAAGGAAATATAATAACCAGACAAAATAATCCATTGATAACAGCTTTCTTGATGTTTACAATTTATTTAGTTTAGTCGAAATTGTAATTTGCAAATAATATCACATTCATTAAATTTAAGAAGGAAATAGTTTGTGTACATTTTGGGAGTCGAATTGGTCAGATAATATTTTGTATGGTGGTTTTCCACATTAGCTTACAGTGACTGCGAAACCCCAATAAAGCAGGGGTGTCCAAACTTTTTTCAAAGAGGGCCAGATTTGATAATGTGAAAATGCCCAAGGGCCAACAGTCCCTGCTGACATTATTTGAAACAATACAAGTAGCCTATACATACATTGTTATTTAATCATTTTATTTTCAATGACAGCAAATAGCAATGTAACCAAATGTAAGCATTCATGTGTGACCGGACTTTGGACATGCTTGGCCTAAACCTTAGTTGTTTCCTGTGAAGATGGAAGTTTATTTTGGAAAGACAGTATGCATGTAACAAGCGAAAACAGACTCATGTTGCTGGACTTTTGCAGGAAAAACGCACGAAAAATGAGGAGCAACTTTTCGTAAGATATCAATAAAACGGGGATGAATTTATATCATTGTATAAAGAGAGTGACATGAGAAGATCAATCTCATGTCTAAGTTAAATCAGCTATAATCACTATTTTAAAGTGATTAGTGACTCGTCTAAAACATTTAAAAAAGGAATAACTTCAACAGAATCATTCTATACAATGTAGCTTCTTTACATTCTAATAGAATGTAAAGAAGCTACATTCTGATACAATGTAGCTTCTTTACATTCTATTAGAATGTAAAGAAGTTACATTCTAATATAATGTAAAGAAGTTACATTGTTGCCTTTTCTTTTCTTCCCACAAGAAGGTAATTTTGTCAGATTGATAAAAAAAATGTCACTTTACTTCCTGACATTATTGTTACAATAAAGAGAGCGTTGGGTGGGCCACATGGTGACGTTTTTGAGGAGAAAAAAAGGCAGTACGTCCCCCCACCTAAAAACGCCCCTGTGGCTTGCGGAACCAATTAAATCCCCTCTCGTTTGCGTGCACGCCAACATGAACGCCGACACAAACACGCTTCGTTGACGCGCGCTTGGGACGAGCTACGGTCCGTGTAAAAACTGCTAAAGTATCCCCAAAAAAAGGGTCCCGCGTGTCCGGAGTTGTTTCGGTGCCAACACTGACGACGTTAGGGGACCGCTTGTTTCTCTTGCTCGGTCTTCCATCCAGCTCGCTGCTAAAGCCACCTATATAAACAGGGCTGGAGAGCAAATGGCAGAGCAGGAGGAGCAGCAGCAGATAACTGCGCTGGACACACCGGTGCCTGGCCCGTCGCAGACGGAGAGAGCGGTGGCTCTCGCCCGGCTACTGCACCACGAGTGTGCTCGTCTGCTCCAGCTATACGTGAGTTATCCGTTTTAACACACTCGTTCTGCTTGACTCCCTCACACCGAGGCGGTGTGACCCAATCCCGTTAACGGTACTAATGCGAGCATGTCGTTTTACTGAGACAGCTGCCAGCTAAGCTACCTGTCGCAATTGAGTGATGTGTTCTACTTTTACTGCGTGTATACATCAACATTCACCAGTATACCTTTGTGTATTCTTGAAAGGGATGCAGTATAATCGTACTAAAAGCCTCCCCCCCCGATTTCCCCTGGGGTACCTAATGGATAGAGTGTATTGGATTTTTTCCATCCGTCATGCTTCTGTGCCTCATCCTCCCTTTTAGAACACCTTTTAATTGATCCATATGGCTGTCATTCAGTGTTTAATGTGAGGCACAAGTGCAAGGCCAAGAAGCACCTTGCAGCCGTCTGCTTTGTACTCAGCATCAAGTTGAAGCAAACATCTTTTCCCCGTCCTTTCAGAAAGAGAAGGAGACCTTCTTGTCGGACCACACCCCTGACGCAGGACGCATTGTGTCCCTTTCCCCAGACTCCGAGGAGCCTAGCACGGAGCAGCAGGTGCAGCTGCTGCATTCGGCTCTGCGGCAGTGCCTGGGGCTGATCCACTGTGTCATCCTGAAGGAAGAGGAGGAATGGGGTGAGCTGGAGGGCGACTATGAGACCATGAGGAAGAACGTCCGACTCCGGCTGGAGCACTTGCTCAGCAGCACCAAAGTTCTGGTGGAGACCGAGAACGTGACCCTGGAAGTCACCCCAGACCACCAGTGTAATGAGGTACAGTATTTGTTATAGTTAAGTTTGTATTTCTATAGACGCACACACAAAACCACAATGTATGTCGATATATTTTGAAGTACTATATTTTGGGGAATATTTTCAAATAACGTCTACACCAAATGGCAGAAGAAAGACTAAACCAACTAAACTTTCTCCTGACGAAGAGCATTTTTCTTCGTGTCCCAAGCTTTCTCAAAATAACTGGGTGATTTAATATGTGAACAACCAACTCCGACTTGTGCATTACACATGTTTAAAAGATGCATATTTTAAAGATTTTTAAAAATCGTACTAAACTAAAGTATTGCGTAGTTCCCACAGTTTTTTTTTTTTTTTTTTACTGGAACAACAGGAGCAAAAATGCCCCGATTATGTCATCATACAGGTGACCAAGGAACCCTGCACCATGAAAGCATCAGCATTGGCAACATTCAACTCTAAAGGGCCCCCACAGTAGGATATTTCCAAGCTACCAGCCCTCAGCCCTGTCCTAGTAACACAACAGTTAAATGTAAAACCTAAATCTACAGCAAGGGTGTGACTAAACCCTGTATTATATTAATGATACCTCTTATGTGATTATGACTAATGTTGGGAGCAAAGCTTTAAATCCTGGACTTAATCTCTGAGATATCATGATAATCTTTAGATTGAGTTTAAAGCTGCAACAATCAATATTTTTATATTAACGATGGATTAAATGTTTAATTTGAAAGGTATCCCTCAAAGTGACGAATCCAAAAAGAATGACCACCCAACCCCGCAGGTCCCTGCTGATCATTTTAGCATCTTTCAGCTCATTGTTTTTGATTTGCAACCTTACTATTTTCAGCACCAAACAGCAGGTAGAGAAAGTTAGCAACTAGCTGGTGAACAAAGTGGAGAATTTAGCAGCTAAAAGTTAATATCAGATTTGCATTTGTCAGATAAACATAACTACAAATGAATGATAATGTTGCTAAAAAATCTGTTGGAGCAGGTTTAGATTAGAACTCTGAAAGTTGAAGCGTGAAAAACGTAAGCAGTGTTTTACTTCAGCCTACCAATCTACTAAACAACTTTTTTTTTTTTTTTTTTTTTTTTTTTAATCCATTTTTACGGTATCTTGGTATGATAAAAGGCAGTGGATGTGAACTTGATTTCTTCTGTGTAGGAAACCGATGGTGCCGGGGGAGTTTTCGGGCTCAAAATGTGGACCTATCGCGTGCTGCTGGAGCTAGTCCACTGGGCTGACCATGCTGCGCAGACCCTCCATGTCTTGCACACAGAGAGGGCAGGAACAGAAGACGTCTGATTTTTCTTGGTTTCAATCCAACAACATCTATGAATGAATTAACTCAACACTAACAGCCAGCTTCCCCTTTATGTATTCCGGAATTGAATGTTAAGCTCTGTCGAATATACTCTGTGAAAACTAGAGGTTATAAAATTGTACTGCTTAACTAAAATCACAACTAAGCTCCTTTTTAACAAAGTCCTGTAGACCGCTTTTCCCAGACGTTGGTATTTCCACAGCAAGTGTGAAACTGACCTCTAGTTTGCCACAGTTGCTATTTTCCTTTGACATAGAAGTGAGTGCAGAATTTTAAGGGTATACAGTTTGGTTTGGTTTGTGAAGTGGCCGAGTTAGACACTCTAAAAATGTATTTTTTTGTATACTGTGTGTTATTTATTTTATTTAAGTTGGATTTACTTTTGATGACTTATTAGCTGCTGTTCCTAACACTAGAAAATCTACTAACTGCTAGAATGTAGCCAAAAATACACGACTGATAAACTGTGACTGATGTGCAGCTGAATCTGTAGCCATTTGCTATTCTAATAATAGGTCACTTAGCTTTTCATGTCCCATTTTATTAACATATCTAGTCTAGATAATTCCATATCAAATTTAAATGCTTGTATTGAGTTTGGTTTTGATCAAGTGTCATGTTTGCTGCTCTGGTCACCAAGTTCTCTCCTGATGTTCTACTTGAATATGCTGCTACACTGTTCACAAGTTTTAACTATAAGACCAGTGGTTCTCAAATATTTTCTGTCAAATGCTTCTTTGGAAGGTAAAAAAAAAGAAATACTTAAAGACATACTGTATTAGACTAATCCCTGACGGTAGGATTGTACTTTCTGTAGCCAAACGTATCAAACACTGCGTTACACAACAACTTAACTGTAGTGTTTAATGCCTGATGCGGCATAATCTCGCTGAGTGAATGAGCTGGGACTCCCAGGCTTGTTGTTATGGTGGATTTCTTATTGCCATGCTTTTCTTTTATCTCTGTGATGATTAACTGGATGTGCATTGACGATTAAAACCCACTCTTAACACGTCTTCTTTGTCACCTTGCCTCTACTTTCCAAATATTTTTTACAACCTTCTGCTGTGTACTACCTAGCTGTATAGGGTAGGTCAAAATAGCTCCACCCAAACCAGCTACTACAGTTAAATTATATATCACACATTGATGAATTAGTATTAACAATCTATAATAAATGTTATATATAAGAATTTATTAGTTGCAGGGGAAATTTTTCTGCAGAATATGTAATAGTAAATTCAAGTACATTTTGTTGATAATTCTTATGTACTTTTACTTGAGTAGGATTTATAATACACAACTATTAATTATGATGAAGAATTATTTTATTGTGGTGCACTTCTGAAATAGGCCATTTTAAAATCACGTTTATAAGCAATTCTCGTGAAAGTAAGAAGAGCTATTTAGTGACAAGCTGGTTAAACAGTGTTCAGATCACAACCAATGTGCCAATGTAGGCTTCACTTCAGTCTGTAACAAGTCTAATTAATTACAAGGCATTGATGTAACTGCACTTCCACGTGAAAGCATGGAAGTTAAGTTTACACACCGTATTGAATATCCGCAATTCTATATCTTCAATCAATTTGAATCTTGAGGTTGAAGGTCTTTATCTTCCTCAGAGGTGGGTGCACCCCATTTTACCAGTAGAACCCCAAAGGATGTTGTGCACATGCGCGTTGGGCAATCTACCGGAGCGCGAGAGGTAGGGGAAGGGAGTCCTAATGGCGGAGAATGTACGGTCGCCTTTTGACTACCGGGAGCCACCGACCCTCGACAGCGACGGGGATGGAAGTAAACCGCCGCCGCCAAGGGGGTGAGTGAGCACAGCAAGCCCCCGGTTTGTCCCCGCGCGCGGTGGTTTTCACCGGGGTTTTGTGAGCAAAATGCAAGAGCCTGAGACGCACGCGCTGCGACCGTGCACGTTTGTTTAGTTAACATCAGAAGCCCTTTTTTCGCGTGCATGAGTCCAGCGTTATAATGGAGAAAACGCAGCGGGGGAAGTGATTTTTCTTTGTTTTCTCGTTGCAGCTGTTATGTCACGCGAGGGTGCGTCTTCCCATGGCCGCCTCAGCTCGCATGTAATCGCCAGCCTTTTATTTTTGATGTTTTGACGGGACCTAAGTCTCAACGTTAGCTGCTGGAAGCTAACAGGCTAGCTGTGGTTTAGCACTAATGTTAGCATGCACCCAGCAGGAATCGTCCGCTATGTATCTTACTGGCCAGTGGTGTGCCGTCTTGTCGATAAACCCTGTCATGTCAGATTGTGTAGACTGCAGATCCCGGAACATAATATCCATCAAACCACCTCGTCGCTTCAGTGTTATTGTGCTCTGAACACCGCTTGACTGCTCAGCTGGTGCAGATCATGACTCGTGTCTTGGCTTTGAGTAAACAAAGTTGCTGACCATGGCTAAAATGCACCTGAAAAACAGTTGACTGTCACCAGGTTCAGTGCATTTGGGACGCTATGTTGTGCTAATCAGGTCTCTGTTAATGCATGTGTACAGTCTGACGTGATTGATAAAGGGGTGGGGCCATTTCAATATATAGATAAAAATAAATCTGTGATAACCAAGATAGCTGAAATCAGTTTACACACTAGCTGTCTTTTTATAGTAGATCTGTGTTCCTCAATCATGGTCATCGATCATCACATCAAATCAGGGACTGATTAACGCCTGTGTTTACAGGTAAACCTAATGGAAACTAGCATTGATGTGGTACTAAAACATATTCTTAAATGATGTCGAGTAAACCTAAGTTACATAACCTAAGGTGGACAGGCAGCAAAAAGCATTTTAAATGGGTTTGTGATGAACTGTGTGGATTCTTTACTTGAACAAAAGGCATATCTGATTAGTGCTGAAATATAAATAATTAATGAAGTTGGATGACAGGAAAATTATTGTTTTTTATTTTGGTAACTTAGTCAGTAATTAAGGAAAAATATATGTGCCGTCCAGCTATTAAATTTTTATTTTCAGCATTTCTTTTTTTCTTATGTCTTTTTGCATTATTGTAAATAACATATTTTGGGATTCTAATGTGTTGATTGGGCAATACAGGCAATTTAAAAATGTCTCTTTCAGCCCTTGGAAATTGTGATGGTATTTTCCACACTATTTTCTGACATTTTACAGGTAATAGATTAATGGTAAAATTAATCAACATACTGATCAGTAATGTATGAAATTGATAAACCCTAATACAACTCTAAAAGGATAATGTAGTTGATGTGTCTCCTTTTTTGTCTTTTATATGTTTTTCAGGGTCTACTTTTCTTCTACTGTACTTATTATACTGAAACCTGCAATATTTGTAGGATGTGCAGACATCTATATTTTTCAAATGTCTTGGTTTCGATTGCTTGTGGAAGAACAAAAATGACGCCGTTGCCACCACTGCTGCCACCATCACTCGTTAAGTAGTTTGTAGCCTTGTTGTGGATGAGTCACCCACCTAAGAGAAATGTTATGTGAACAGATTCAATTACTGCTTTGCAACAGGTATCGCATGCTCTGCTCATTTCAGCTGCCCTCCCTTCGAATATTTACCAGAGGAAAGTAGAGCACTGCTATGTCATCATGTTTGAGGAAGCGCTGCTATTTCTTTTTTTACAGGCGAGTGTGTGGGAGAAAAAGGAAGGGGACACCTGTGAAGGTGTGTGACCGAGCGTATGTAACAGAAGATGAGGAGGAGGAGAGCATGTCAGAACACAGCTACAGCCCTGGTATATATATATAAGCGCCCACACACACACACACACACACACACACGCACACACACACACATACACATTTAACCACCTGCTGTTTGTGTTTTTATCCACTCTGGTGCTTATGATAAACAAGTGTACCACGTTGTAATTAGCAGTGTATTGTAGTACAGTACAGTACATCTTTCAAACATAAGGCTGGTGGTTTGTGATAAAGCAGTTAAGATGTGCTGGATTTAAAAAGTCCTCTCTGTCCCAGGTGATGGCCAGTACCCAGAGGGTGCAGAAGACCGCCTCCCTCCACCTGGCAGTCCCTACTACATGCCCGATCCCACTCAGCTCTGGTATGGAGGACCCTCGCTATAGTAACTGTGCTTAGATATTTTTCTAGGTTGGGGAGCCATATTGCTAATGTCACTTTATGTTTTCCAGTGTGCCAGAGCTGGGGGATGAGGGAGCGAGTGGTGTTCGTGGACCTGTCCTCTTCCATCCACCACCCAACTGCCGGATCAGAGAAGTCCACTGTGGGACCCAGGTGCGGTTGGTTGTCATAGCAATCCGAGACATCGCCAAAGGGGAGGAGATCACAGTGGACTACAGCCTGACGGACTGGGGAGAGAATGCAATGGTGAGATACTAGCTGGTGATGTTCAATATTTATCAGGTTGCTAAAAATCCCATGACAAGACTAAATTGCCAGAGTCTGATGTAGCTTATCCCCTCTGTGCCATAAAGCACAATTGTTGTCCAAAAACTATTTAAAACACATCAATAAGCCACACAGTTGCACTGTGTGACATGTTCCTCCATTACCATGAACATGAACACTAATTTGAGTTGAGACATTTTCCTGCTGCCTTAAATTCGCACACACACCCAAAAATCACATGCATATATTGTCCCGAGCAAATGCACTGTTTGCTCATGAAACTATATATTTGGGCTTTTTAAAAAGTTATTATTTTCAGGATATATTATGCCTTTAACGACAGTTGAAAGATGACAGGAAAAAAAGGAGAGAGAGGGATGCATTATCCAGACATGAACCGGGGACATTGTAGCCCTAATCCTAATCAAAGACTGTAAATCCTGTGGATAATAGCTACATGTTGAGCTAATTTGGTTTGTTTTCATTTAAAATGTGTCTAACCAGGAGGAAGAGGCTGGCCCCCACCCACTGTCCCTCTCTGTTTCTGATTACCTTACCCCTTCCTGGTCATTATCACCCTCATCCTCCCCACTCACCCACTCTGAGCCCAGTGACTCGGACCGTGAGGAGGACGAAGAGGAGGAAGATGATGATGATGACGATGATGACGAAGAAGAGGAAATTGAGGAAATAAGGGGCCGAATGCTTCGCCGACGCAAGAAGCGCAAGCTGCCTGCAACGGTCGAGTCGGAGAAGAAAAGCGCGCCCACCTCCTCCAGAGGCCCTGGGCACCCCTGCTCATCCTTTTCCCACCCAGCACCTGTCGCAACCCCTGCCAGATCCCAGTCCCAGCCCCCAGTCAGCGCCCTGGCACCCCCGACCACCAACATCAACAACAATATTAACATAAACATTGGAAGCTCCCCGGGTGCCACAGTGAGCCGGCGGCAGCACTGCGCATACTGCGGCCGCCACTATCGCTCTCTGGCACGCCACCTGGAGAAGCACCACGCCAACCAGCCCGACGTTAGAACAGCCATGGAGCTGGCACAACTGCACAGCTCTTCAAATGGCAGCGCCTCACACCCTCACCCCTCATCGTCCTCCGCCTCCGCCACTCACAGTCATTCCTTTGCTGTCCCTCAGCCCTCGGCCCCCAACCCCGCTCCCGCTCCCCCTCCCCCTCCCCTCTTCTCCAGGGAGAGGGAATCGCCAGCTACACGGTCGAGCACGGGCGGCGTCTCCTTCTCCCTGTCGCTTTCGCCGCCTTCCTCTACTCAGCCTGTGGCCACCAAGAAGGCGCCCAGCTTACCACTGCCCACCTCAAAACGTCACGCGCCCCCGCTGGTGTCACCAGTTAAGAGTCCATCACCACCTCTCCCGTCTACTCCCAGAAGGGGTCGGAGGATGAAGAGAGAAAAGTATGAAGAGCAGCAAAAGGTGGAGGTGGAGAGCTCGAGAAGTCAAGAGGAGCTGGTTCCACCTCCTACTCCAGAACCAGACATAGATCCAAACGAAGATCTGGAGCTGAGTGGAGAAGGAGAAGAAGACGCACCAGAGGAGAAGAATGGAGAGATTGTAAGGTATCGTTGGATTATTATTACCAATTAGATATTTATTGTTCAGGGTTTTTGGGTTGTGTTTTGTTTTTTCAACTGCTTTTTAAACATGTTTTTTTCCCCTCTGTCTTTTCCAGCACACAGAGACATCACATGTCTCCACTGCTCTCTTCCCTCTCCTGTTTGGTCCTCTACCTCCGCCACCAGCAGCACTCCTCTTTCCTTTCTCTCACCCGTTCTCCTCACTCGGCGGAGTCCTGGCGCCTGCTCTGCCATTCCAGCCTGTCCCTGCTCATCCTCTACAACCGCCACAGGGAATGTGAGGTGGCCAAACTCACTGTCCAGGACTACCACAACCGTATCACTCCTCCGGCCAGCTCCAGCAACAACTCCAGCAACAGCTCCTCCTCTGGCATGGAAGCCCTCCTGTCCCCCTTCGAACGCCATGTCCTCTGTACCCTTCCGCGGGCTAGCGTTTTGGGCAAGCGTGGTCGCATCCAGCCACTTATTCTCCCGCCACACTGTGAGTCCTGCCTGGACCTACTCCTTCAAACCAGCCCCAATGTGGGCGTGGACCCAGAGAGCCCATATGTCTTCTCTCGGCCCTACCACTCACCTGCCACACCGCTCCGGGGCACGGACCTTCTGAGAAACCTGGCACGATCCAGCGGGGCTAAAAACCCCGGAGCACTGACAGCGACTCGTGTACGGCGGCAGGTAGCGATACTTACTCAACTGCTACTATTAGATGAAGGCGAGGGCCAGCATGGAGCCACCAAACAGCTGGAGGAATTCCTTGAACGAGAGTACCATGTGACCCAGAACTGCTCCACTATCATACGGGATCCAGCACTGATGGGTCGTGTGGGTCGTGTTGTGCTTTATGGAGAGAAGGAGGGCGTGCTTTTCCGAGGGATGAGCCTGCAGCACATCTGCCTCGAGTTGGATGGTAAAGAGTTACATCATGTATTATCTTTCTTCAGGTAAAACGCTGAAATTACTTGGGGCCCATCAGCAGGTATTTCAGGCATGCGATGTTTAATTTAATGCAGGTTCTGCTGCCAAGAACCTTTTTTAAACGATGAACTCCCACCGTGAATAATGATGGAATAATAATGCAAAGTGTCAACATAACACTCGGTGTTCATTTTAACAGATTATATCTAATGTGGAACTATTGATGGACTCTGCGATGAATGTCAGCTTTTTAAAATATAAATATATAAACGTGGAACAGATATGATATACATCACACTAACACTTCCACACTGAAGAAATAATAGGTCCAATGCATCTTTTTTATATCCACGTCTGACGCTACAAAGTATGACGGCTAGTTTGGCGTTCACGGCGTGCAGAAGCACCACTTCAGATCTATTGATGTTTCTTTTAATTATTCTTTTTAGTCCGGCGCTCAACCTTTGTCAAACTTTCGTGTGCACACGGCCCTGCAGTCTCACGCCCTTTTATGGGGGTTTGCAGGGCTGAATAGGTTTAACTCACGCATTCCTTCAATTTACAAATGCAATGACATTCATCATTGCGATACGTACAATTTTGCGTTTTAAGAACACGTGAATCTGATGATCATTTTTAGGACCTTTCTTAAGAATAGATTTACGAAAAAAATGTAGGATGATACAAAGACTCTGCCAGAGGTTCTGTTGGGTTAAGAGGTAGATTTTACTGGTATCCACCACTTCATTAATAAACATTTTGAACAAGTTACAGCACCGCAGTTGATCCCCTTTCTTAAAATATTAAGCTGTATGTTAGTCATTTGATTTGAGTTAACTACCCTCCATTTCATCTCTGTCCCACAGTATTGTCTGGCAACTCGGCTGACTCTTTCTCAGAAGAGTCCGAGGCAGAGGAAGAGAAAGAGGAAGTAAAGGAGAAAGCTGAGGTGATGGTGAAGAAGAAAGGACCAGGGCGACCGCCACGGAAGAAGAGGGCACCCATTCCCGCTCCAGTCAGCCCCTCAATAGCCAATGTTCATAAGAGAAGATGCATTCCACCCAAATCAGGTAACCATCTGCCAATATCGGTCTAGGACCTCCCGAACTTCAGTCACTTCCTTATTAACCTGATCCTATGCATTGTCCTCTATCTCACAGGGAAGCGTGGTGTACTTAAGCGCCCGTGGTCAGAGGCTGAGCGCGTAGCAGTGGAGACTCACCTAAAGAGGAACCTGATGGAGCTGCGAGTCCCCGCGAAGGCGGACTGTGAGCGCTGCCTCGAACTCTGCCCTCTGCTGGTGAGCAACCAGCGAGACTGGAGGTCGATCAAGTTTTACGTTCACAACCGCATCCAGCTGCTGAAGAAGCAGGGGAGGAGGGAAAGCGCCGCCTTGGTCTGCTAGGTCAAAACAAAGACACGGCACAGGACACGTACCATAATGTATAAACCACCAGCAATCATAATGGAGACAAAAGGTGGAGTGCAGCTTCTCCTTTTGGGTGGCGTACCTGAAGTTAGGTGCATGCAATGTCTCATCACCCCGGTCATAAGTGAGTTGTGTAGTAATGAGTTGCTCCAGTTAAGGATCATTCATCCGTATGGAGGATGCCCGCTGTCTGTTCAAGATGTACTTTTAAGCTGTTGGACAAGATGTACGCAAAAATGTGAATATGAGTTCAAACACAGTGAGTGCTTTGGTTTTTTTGTGTTAAAGATTTATTTTTTATGTTGTCCTTACTTCATGAAATAGTTGATAGTGGAGAACAGCGGGAGACGTAGGAGAGAGAGAAGGTGACATGCAACAAATGTCCCTGCAGTGAAGTCGATCCACAGGGTTGCGGTAGGTGCTTTAGACCACCAGGACACTCTGCAGCAAATAATCCTTGGTCTAGCGTTTGCTTCCACTGAAGGCTGATGACCAAACATGAATGTGTAAAGCTTTGGAAGAAGAAACCAATGGTTCTGATCTTTTAAAATCACCACAGATAGACTAAGTATGAACTTGTATAGTTTGTGTTTGATATTGACTGACGTCGTGCCCCCAAACCATGGCGCCCAATTGACGAGCGTATTAAGAAGTATTCTTCATCGTCTCGGACCATTATGCACCTGTGAAGTGGTTCTTGCATACATACCTCTTCTACCATGGTCGTAGTCGGGCTACTCTGTCTCAAGGCACACCTACTTGAATTTATTGTGTGTCAGAATAATTTCAGAATCAATTTATGGTCTTATCCATAATGTAAATACTTCTTAATCTATGAAAAAAATATACAGTAGTGATGGCATAGTATTGTGTTATGGTGTATATACTGTAAATACTACCTGTACTTATTAAAGTGTATGACATTTTGCTGTGTTTTCTTAAACTGGATTGTAAAGTGAGTTGTACATTGTGGATGTAGAGCAAAACAAAGGAAATAGAAATAACAGATAAATACAAGATCACAGATTGATTGAATTTTATTGAAAAAGCTGAGTCACAAAGAGTACACACACACGTTCAAAAATAATTATACATTTTAACATCAATTATTACAGAATAAAAAGTAAACTCTATTTAGTGGTCGTGCCAGAGTTGGGTTATTGTTAACTTTTGTATGTCAGTTTGTGGCCAGGCTCGCCACGGTTAATGCTACCTTATTAGATCCTTCCCAGTCCTTCCTTCTCTGAATTAGCTCAAGTCCACCTACAGTTTCTTACGCAAGATCAATAAGATTAAAGTTTGCACAAAGCAGCGTTTTTGAGTCTGGCTTGTAGACTCACCTCTGCAATATTTCTGTTTGTAGTGTGTGTTTACTGAATGGTTACAAGACCAAAATCCCCCGAAAGGCAAGAGAATATATAGTTGTGAATCACGTAAATAACTAAGTCATAAAGTGTACTTAAATTCAAAAAAAGAAGAGTCACACAGCACAAGCAATAATAACTTCCTAAATGATTGTAATTAGTGTATAAATGAAATTAGATTAAATGTCAGTGTATATTTACTAATAGTGTATAAATGCACAACAGCATAAGTTTTTTTTAAATCACTTAACAGACAGTGAACATAAAAATATAGAAAATGAAATGCTGCTCAATCAGTTTGGTTTTCTTGCAGAGAGTTAGATGCGAAGATTGATATCTGGAGAGTGGTATCAATCCTTTACTGACAGACCTTTCTGTTATTATTCTGTCTGCAATTGGTCCGGAGTTTGAGCTAATATGACCGTATACAATAAGACATTTCAGCTTTAACATGACTTGTTTAATAAAAATCTTGGGTGGTCACCCATTTCAGTGACTTAACAGTTTTCCCTGAACTCCACTAAGTACATAAAGTACGCAAAACAAGTAAACTTGGTTCCATTAATTTTTTTGTATCCTCTTTTCCCCCATAACACATGATCCAAATACAGTGCTAAAACACAAACACAGATCCTATCAGATTTCACCTGCTTCCTTACAAAAGTTGATATTAAGATGCAGTCTCTTGTGCCGTTGAGTCTACAGAGTTCCCCATGTCACTAGGCTGACCCGGTTCTTCCCTCTGTAATATCTCCATAACTCCTTTGTCACCTCCACCAGGATTGAAAAATGGAAAAATGACCCCTGTGAAGGTAGCTGTTAAACTGCCAATGAGACACTCACGTTCCACATCATAAAAGGAAAGCTCTCCGCTGTCGTAATTCAGAAACACACCGACCGTCTGGGGTCTGGTGTAGACTGGCAGTAAAACGTTTGGCTCTGTGCTAAACTGAAAGCTATCATTTTTGTCAGGGTTAGGGTTAGAGGACAGGAACCAGAAACCATTAGATGTAGTTGGCGAAACATCTAACTTCTCAGAAATGACAGTTGCACTTGTAACTCCTACCCACCAGGACCTTTTGAGATCTACATTAGGATGTGGCCCCAAAGAAACCTCCCAGTAGTATTGTCCAGAAGAGAAGCCAGGTGTTCCTTTGATAGCTGTGATACAGGTAACCTTATGTCCATCGGGAAAGTCACACTTGGCGTCTCTCAGTTTACTATCCTTGATTTTGAGATACTGATTTTCCATCTTATCAAGTGTGACATTTACTGAAAATTGAAAACATTAAACAAACCAATCAGAAAAGGTCAGATTAGAGAAACACTTGGCACACTACGCACATAATTGTTAATTAAAATAAATGAAGTGGTTACCATAGCACTTGGTAGCTTCTGATAGACTTGTTGGCTGGATCACGTCTGTAAAGGTACAATAATCATTACAGGATGCAACTTTTGTGTCAGTGCTTTGCTTTGACTTGAATAGTGACCATGTTACTTCTTACCTTTTGGTAAAAGGGTACGATTCTCTAGGGAAGAAAATACAAAAACAAAGTTAACCCTTTAGGTTCCGTTATTTTATAGCCCCCCATGGATTTTACACATGAAGTTCAATTTTGTTGTCATGCGATGTACTACTCAGCATTTTGGAAAATGTATCCAATGTTTTTGGAGCTTGACTGATAGTAGGTGCTTTTTAAAATGTGTCTCTCACAACTCGTTTAAAGAAGTGCTAAGCCTAAGATCGAATACTAATTTGCAGGTGTAGCCATATAATACTCATATCATGAACTTTCTCTGAAATGTCGTGTAAGAGAGTGACTCTGGTTGTTCTTACCTTCGGCTCGGTCGTTATTTGATTCGGCTTTTTTCCCTGAAACATGGAACATTTTCAGGATTTCTTATAAAATATATATATTTATTACATCACAAACATGTCTCCAGAAAGTCAAACAATTACCTCTCCGTTTGAAGTACAGCACTCCAAGTAACACTAACATGGCTGTGAGGAGCAAAGCAAAAAGCACCCATCCAGCTGCTGAGGATCCCAATTCTAGATGAAAAGCAAGAAATGTGTTTTTATGTATTCTACATGAGCGAAGAAACATTTTTTTTTTTATTGTTGCACACATGCAAATAATTGTTACCCTATTTACCAGTTTGTGGCGACTTTTCCGGGCGCACTCTTGCCTCTTTTGGTTGCTCATCAGAGATGCCTATTGAGCAAGAAACCTCAGTGGAGTTGGAGACAAGAAGCCAACTGTGGACTGAATGAAGACCAGACGAGTCTTTGCTGTACTTCAGACTTTTTGGTTTAAGAACCTGCTTTTGATCCAACCATGTCAGATTAGGCTCTGGATACCAGCCTTCAGACTCACAGCTGATGTTCACCATTTTATCTTTCCACACTGTTGACATGAGCGGGGCATGTCCCATTTCTAGGAAGGAGGAGGACGATAGAAAAACATTTATTGTTAAGATGAAAGGAAGATTGTAAAATTGAAATAATCCCTTGGTTTTGAATGTACTCACCTGTCACAATGAGACGAACACTTTCACTGTCATAACCTTGTTCACTGCTGACGTAACAAGTGTAATCTCCTACATCCTCAACTGTGGCTTTTTCTAGCTTCAGGCTCACATCACCTGCCGTCAGCCCAACAGACGCTGCATCCTTTAAGCCAAACGAGACTCGGCCCACATACGAAGCTTCCTGGGATGCATTCTCAAACTTCTTTGCCCGGTAATACATGACCGGGGAGTCGTAGAGACGACGATACCAAGATACCTCCAAACCATCTGCACTTTGTGGTGGATTGAGCCAGCATGGTAATGTGGTTGTTTGGCCAAGTTGCACTTTGACAGGGGTCCTGATTAAAACCTCAAGGCTACCTGAAACTTAAACATTAGTTACTGTAAGTCACTCTGGGTTTTGTTAATATTTAAGATAGGTGCCATGTAAATGCATTATTGCCTCCCTTATGTCCCACCTATAAATTACTTTTATAGTGTTTAATGCAGCATGTTTATACTTGATTATAAATCGTGTTATGAGTACATATAGCTCCTAATTGCAAAAAAAAAGACTTGATGGGGTTTAAATGAAATATAAAAGCAGTTTAAAGGTTTAGCACAAAATGTGACACTAAAACGTGAATGAATTGGAATAAACAGTGATCAGATACATACAAAGGTAACAATGGAGAGTCATTCATTGTAGAATACAAGGATAAGGAAAATAACATAAATAAAAATAGATAGAATAGCGCAGAGACAAGGGACTTACCGGGGGCAGCGCCGCACAATGCTGCACCAAGAGCAGCCACAAGGCACATATGCATCATCAGTGCACCTATAAAATAGGATGAATACAAATTATGACAGGCTATCTGCATGAAAACAACCGTAATATCAGGAATCGAAAGGTATCCACACCTCTCCACAATACACAATCGGGCTTAAATCAATACAGATTTAATAACAGCAACTGAATAAAAGCAGAGGAATATGTTGCGATTGATAGCCCGTCCAACTCGCGGCCTACCCATTGTGCTGTTGTAACTCCAGGGAGAAATATCCCTCACGCTACTCCTGGTAGAATATAGTCCTTAAATAGAAAATGAAGAAGGAATACAAATTGAGAGGATTTGAAGTCCGTTTAGTCTGTTTAGTGTAATATCGTCGTGAAGGTAGAATAATGGGGGTGGGAAACGCGCTCCAACACGTTGCGTCGTTATCCAGAGACTTACTTTCACTTTCACTTACTACCGGAAACAGGAGTGAGATGGCGGTCAGCTACTCTGTTGTGAACACTTTCATTTACAGTGAAATGCTCTCCCATGAAATCTAGGGGAAAGTTTGTCGGGACTTAAATGCATGTGCAGTCTTCCACTTGTTCGTCAGAGGCGTAAGGCCTAAGTTTAACTTCTCCTGACAAAATCATTAATCGCATGAATAAATGAGTGTGGAACATAATAGAACAAATACAAAGAAAAACATGAAAAAAAAAACAAATAAATTGTGAAGTAATTGAAACAAAATGCGTAAAATTACAATAAAGGATGTTTTTGGAGTAAAAAAAACAAAGAATAAATTCCTTTCAAAATTGTATTTGAAATGTCATGGTCAGGGTGCATGTAACTTTGATGATCCTCTGACTTTTCCTCTAACGCCATGATCGGGTCAAAATTATAACAAATCCAAATTGGTGTATGACTATAAAACCATGGAAATATGTATAAAAATAATTGACATTCCCATCAGCTAAAGCTTTACTCCCTGTTTGGTGCTGATAAGAAAATATGGCACTTTCGCTGGAATCAGCTGTTTTGTAGTCGACTGACGGAGCGATAAACTTTTATTAACTCGAATATCTTACCCATTTCATCTGTATTTCAAGGGTTTCAAAGTCCGCAGTGTGAGGGGGTGGATCTGCCTGGTGTTGGCTATTTATTGTCCAAACAGCAACAGGCTAAGGTTACTGAACGTTTCAGAATACTTTCATACTTAAGAAATACGAACACACAAATAAAGGAGCTTAACCAACAAAACAAATGTGTGAAATCAGAGAGAGTTTTAGTGCATTTTGTCCTTACGGAGTAAAATGTGTTATGCAGTTCATTTTTTCATTTGTTTTAATGGTTTACGTTTTTGCAAATCGTTTGACAAAAGCGTAACCCCATCTAAGAACACAACGAGTGGGTAAAACCTGGCACAATATCATAAGAGGCTCTGTGCTATATGTTTGTGCTGACATGGTAGGTGGACATTGTCAACCACAGATGTGTAAACAAGGGACAGGGATTTGTGGTTTGTAAATTCTCACGTGAGAGCGCTGCCTCGAGATCAGCAATAAGTAAACAGAAGGGACCGGATGTTATGCAATGTCGGCTTCAAAATAAAGGCTTATAGTTGGTCTCTTAAAAAATAGACGGGTAGGTCTTGTGACTGTTCTTTATTCACATTGACAATCGTACTCGAATTATTTGGCTCAACAGCCCGTTATGAAAAGACAAAAAAATAGTTGGATTTAATTGCAATTAACTTTATTCTTCTACGTCTAACCGGAAGAGGTAATTGTAATTCAGTTTGACTGGTGGTGTGGTCAAGATTAACGCTTGTTCTGGTTAAAAGGGCTTTTTACATTTAATTTTTATTTTTAATAAATGAAGTGTTTAAATGAAAAATGTCATAATCTTACACACTCCGGTACAGTAGGTGGCGGTATTCACATTAAAAGTTAGTTTGTAGTCCGCCAATAACCTAGTTAACAAGAAGAAGCTTGTGTGTGGCGTACTATCGTCTATTCACTTCACCGTCGGTTGGAAACTACTTAATTTAATAGTATGTTGTGGCATTAGTATGTCAACGTAACGTTGTATGCAAGAATGTACAATTTTAGTCTGAGCTCGGAAGAGTTGTAGTTAGCGTTAGCAGTGTAGCTAGGTCACTTACTCTCGGCTACATGGAGACTTAGCACAAGTTCTGCGTTGTTTACATTTTTTGCAAACATGGCTCAATTCATTGACTCTGACGAGACAACTCCATTGCTCAGTGATGATTCAAACAGGTGAGTGCAGAGTTCAATGGCCATTGACTAGACCCCTTAGCCAGTAGCCACTGTTACCTCAGCTAAGTGGGGTAACGTTTCAACAGGGAGCTTTAGTGCATTGTTTATTAAACCGAAGTATTACCAACGCTACTCTAGAAGTGAACCATGCATTATGTTAACCATTTCAGGCAAATCGTTTTTGTTTCCGTGTTGGCTCTAAATCACATGTGCTGTCTTTTCCTCTTGTGTACAGTGATGACTCTCAGGATGAAGAATACAAGAGTCGGTGGAGGTCTATCCGAGTTATGTACTTCACCATGTTTCTCAGCAGTGTAGGTGAGCATGCCCACGACTTTAGAAGTAGAAAGCCCATTGCAGAGACACTACACTCGGGGCTTCAGTAATTTGTATGGTAAAAGGGCCTCCTCCATGCATAGGTGGGGGGAAATTATGGGGGGAAATTGTCCTGTAACTTGGAGAGACTGAATTTAATAGTGCTCAGTTATTGCCATTCCGTAGCACAAGATTCCAAAACAAAATGAAATTGTAGCCCAGTTCATTTGTGCTCCACAAGAAAAACACGACAACAACGGTAGTGCATTTTTCTGAATTCACATCAGGAGTAATGTAAACGACAGCAACACTTGTGGATACGTACTGTCGCTATGAACACGATGCATCTCTATGTGTCCCTGGCTTGTGTTTAGTGTGATATGATTCATAACACAATGTTTAGGATCTTTGACAGGGGGGAATCATCTAAGTTCCATGTGCTCTTTCAGGTTTCACTCTTGTCATCACATCACTGTGGCCCTATTTACAAAAGGTATGTACTGTATGGTTTACCATTTTCTTTGTAAAAGACTGTTGACCGGTTCTGCTGATGTCATTCATACAATTGAAGGCACTTTGTTTTTTTCCATTCGAAGGCAAGTCTCGGCAGGGTAAAGAGGAAGTGAAAGAAGCTACAAAGAACATTTTTGGGGACTTTGTTTTAGATTAGGGTTAAGTACTGCAATGGACCTGTGCGGTAGTGAAACTTTGTAGGAAGCAAATCTAAATACTAGGTCGCATTCTAGTTATGAGTCAAACCTAACTGCATGCTTCAGTAATGGGACTCTCAAATTTGACTATCTCATCTGTTTGCTTTGTAGCACTGTCCTCAAACCGTCATACTGCAGGGTATTCTGTAGAACGTGCTCATGATTCCACATGTTTTGGGTCATTGTTTCTTACAGATCGATGATAGTACCAATGCCACCTTCTTGGGATGGGTGGTGGCTGCCTACAGTCTCGGTCAGATGTTAGCCTCACCAATTTTTGGCCTTTGGTCCAACTACCGGCCACACAGGGAGCCACTGGTGTGTTCCATCATCATCAACCTGTCCGCCAATATCTACTACGCCTACGCATTCCTGCCCAGAACCAATAACAAGTTCCATGTGCTCATTTCCAGAGCCTTTGTGGGCTTTGGAGCAGGTAATTTGTGAAGGCCTGTTTCACATTATTTTGAATTGTCCACACAGCTGCCTGTAAATAACTATCCTTTTCATTTAATGCCATGGATTTGCTCATAAACTGTACATAGGGCTCCGCTCCACCATATAATATTGTCATCTGTGTCACAAAACTAACTCGCTAATGTTCGCTTTGGTCTTTTTTTATGTCAGGTAATGTTGCTGTGGTGAGGTCCTATGTTGCTGGAGCTACTTCACTGAAGGAGAGGACCAGTGCCATGGCAAACATGAGTGCCTGTCAGGCTCTGGGTTTCATCCTGGGACCAGGTAAAGATGGCTGTATTTTGTTCATATTAAGTAAACCATGCCAGTGTAGAGAGCAAATGATGCTAGCCTAGTGAATGTTGTGGGGGGGGGGGGGGCGCAATAAGCAAGTCTTTGGTTTGTATGTTTTAACACTTGCATATCTTTGCATATGTCAGCTCTGCAGGCCTGCCTATCATTCATCGGTGAGCATGGTGTCACGGTAAAGGCTATAGACCTGCAGCTCAACATGTACACTGCTCCTGCTTTACTAGCCACCGTTTTCTGCTTCATCAACATCCTGCTGGTTGTTTTGGTGCTGAGGTAAAGATTTATATGCACACATATATATATA